CCCACGTCACCCTTTTGAGCTTCAGCTCCGTTTCTCGACGGCGGCGGCTTTGGCACGTAGAGCGTAGTGTGGCCGCAGTTGTCCCAAGCCTTGATCTTTTGACCTGGCCCTCAGGGGCCCTAAGAGCGTCAAACTTTGGGTGGTGCATGCAAGACACTTTGACTTTCAGAGATCAACATCAACTGGAACATACTCCTGGCATTTGGCATCTCTTGCAACACACCCCAACCCAAACGAGCAGAGAAGTGAAGACATTCATTGGCTTCGATGTTGAGCCATGTTGATCTTGTTGATACACACTATCTATATATCATATAAAGATATATCATTGGTAGGCCAAGGTCCAACCCCAAATAGAAGAATGGCCAACGTGATGCAGTTCTTGACTTGAGCTTCCGGGGTGCGGAGTTTGCATGGCTGGATAAGATCTTAGGATATCCATGTTAATTCGATATTCATCTTATACATCTTATTTTAGATGTTCAGCTCGGTCATCCGAAGATGCACAGTTAGGCACACGCCAACCCCAAGTGAATTCAACGTCTCCGAGCCTTCGGACCCCACAAGCTGCAGATCCGGAGAAATCCTGAGCCATCCGGACATGTAAAGTGCCACCAATTCGGAGGCTTAAACTCGCTCCAAAGGCTGAAAATGGACGCCGCGTGGCTGCTCTTCAGCTGCACGACTCCCTGTGCCTTAAGAAACGCCAGAAAATACGGATGGAGTAACTCACAGGTTCCAACTCAGGCGGGACCCCCCCAAAAACCCCCAACACTCCCAGCAGCTTCGGAACGTGTCCCGGGTTCCGCGCCACGCGCCTCCACGCCACGCCTACGCCTACGCCTCGCCACGCCTTTGCAACGGTCGGTGCGAAGCCGAGAGGTCTCGGACATCTCCGAGAAGCCTTTCGGCTCCTGGATCGGGACCAAAACGGGACCCTGGACCTGCAGGACTGGATGCTGGGAGCCTGCAGACCTGGGAGGTGGTTTGATGGAAGATGGTATAGCTTCTCAACTATACTTCTCATAGCTGAGGGAATGATTCTTCAGCAGGGAAGTGTTTGGATCCATTGCAAACAGATGGAATTTGGATGTGAAGATGCCATTTGCGTAGATTTGTTATCCTGGCCTATCACCTTTCATGGAAGTTCCTTCAGCTTCTCTTTATACAGTAAACTGATATTCTAAATGTAGTAATCCACTGTCACTGATCGAAATGGCCGAATTTCTCCGCCGGCTCTGCCGGGTGTGCTCTCATACCTTCCCACTGTCCTCCAGGAGCTGGTCGATGCCTTTGAACAGTGTGCACCCACGCGGGTCTCGAAGCACCACATCGAGGCCACCCGAAAGAAGACGTGATGAGCCGAGCCGAAAGAACAAAGCTTTTGAAGGTTAGGTGGATGACATGGTTCCTAGGGCTCCAAGGTGTTTGAGGAGGTACTTGGAGCCCTAGGGGGTTGCAAACAGTTATTCTTCCCACTTTCATGTTTCTTGGGAATGTATATATAGGGTTATATAGAGAAGGGAAGGGTACTAGGTGGGAGACTTGCAACTGAAGAACTGCCATGAAGCTATTCGAAGGTTCGGCGGGATGTCCGAAGTGCGTATCCCAACCCGGAAGTTCAGGGGTAGAAGTAGAGCAAGAGTTACCTGTCTCCACCCAGTGGATGCCAGTCTTCGTCGGACAGAAACGACGCTTCAACACATGAGAGCCAAGAGCCCTCGGGCTCATGGCCCACCATTAATTTTCATAACCTGAATCCCGAACAACCATTGTTTTACTTTAAGGGTTTTATAGTACCAAACCAGCGCTCATGAAGGTTTTGCACTACCAAACCTTCAATGACCATTTACTGTACACCATTTCTTAAAATGCTCTTCGAAGGCGATCGGGCTCAAAACTCTTCCCAGACATCGCCAGCAACAACGCGAGGAGCTGTTTCGGCATATCGACGTGAACGGGGACGGCACCATTGATGTGGAGGAGCAGCTTCCAGTCGATGGGACACCTTTGTTGAACAGATCTGCGAACGTAATGATGTTTTGTCCTAAGAAATCGCTAAGAATTACGTATCCGTAAGAAGGAATTTCGATCAACCACCACATACACACTCTGAAATGATCATCAATCATTGGTTAGTGGAGTGAAAAACCACCTGTTTGGTATTTTGATTGAACATCGTCATCCTTCCGGGGCCATTTGCTTTCATGATGATTTCAGGGAGTGTGCCCAAACGTTCCATGGTGGGGCGTGATGGCCTACATTCACCACCCAAAACCACACATGCAGTTTCATGGAGCGTTTGGTATAGGTAGGTACTTAGGGCAGGCCAGGGCTGGGGGGCTGGTCGGTATTCTCACATGAAGAAGCAGGTGTGCGTCGCTCAGGTTCGCCCGGGTCGTTGAGGCACCCAGTGACTAGGATGAGAGGCCTAATCCGGGCAGCTCGTCTCCAAGACCTATGTTGGTCACTGGGGAGGCTCTCATCGAAAATGCTCCGTGCAAAAGAGGGTGAGCCTGCAAAAGAAGAAACCCCACCAGTCATCTCGAAGCACAAGGTCCTGATGTGTGTAGCTTGAGTGATCCCCAAAATAGATGAAACAGGTGTTCCAATTCTACGGAGCAGTGCCTGCCATGCTGCTGCTGTTTTTTGGAGCGATGCACACAATCATGGGCAGGCAGGACTTTTAGCAACTTTAGATCAACTTTAGCTACACACAAAAAATGTAATTTCTCCAATCGAGGTAAGACGAAGCATTTTTGGCTTTGAGCGACTCTATGTTCGTCATATGAATGATAGGCAGGATGCCACATGTTTTGAAAGCCACTCACTTGTGTTGGACTCATATTGTTCAACTCACTTTCGAATGCATTTGGCTTGGCGAAAGGAAAAAACAGGCGCTCCATTATATACTCCTCCAAAAAGGATCAACTTAGTTTAGAGAAGCGTTGATATGGACCCACGTTTGTCACGTTTGGTACATGTGTGTTTTCCGGTTCTGTTCTTGGCACCAATTTGATTTGGAGCCATCAGCAGAGAGAGAAAGCCATCACCATCCATGCCTTTGGTGTGACCTATAGGAGATGATAGAGTTCCTTGCGAAGACCTGGATGGACACTGGGCTGAAGAGATTGCGGAGGATGCCCTGCCCCAGCTCATAGCAGAGCAACTGGAGTTGGTGGATGGAGCAAACCATGCGCCTCGAGGGTTTGGAAAAATGATGGCTCCAACGCACAAAAGAGGTATTCTACTTCGTGTGGTGGGTAGTCTTAGTATATAGTGCAGTGTAGTGCCCTTTCAGTGCCTTGGCATGTCGCCTGACCAGGTATAATGGTTCTCAGAGACAATATGATCAGGTACTGACATGGATAAGGCCAGAAGGGTGAGGGCGTCCTCCACCCGAGTGCAGACCATACGGGGGTCCCTGTGTGCATCCTATCCCAGACACGACGCATGTCAATGTAGGTATAAATATGCCAGTCCCAATCCCTACATCACTGGTAATAATGTATAATGATGTATAATCACTGGTAATAATATGCCATAAATAATGTATACCCTGGGTCAATCTAGTGTTTGGGTATACACTCCCTGAACGGATGACCCCTCGGACCAGCTGCAGCTGGTGAACGAGGCCCAGCACTTCCATGCGAGTCTTTAGTGTACTGGAGTCTTCTTCAGGAGTTTTCCTCCACTTTTGGGGAGATCTTCAAGAAGCTCGTTTTTGCCACGACTAAAATCAATCCCACCTCGTTTCTTTAATATTTTTTAAAAGGGGGCAAACAGTCGCTGGCCCAAGTCAGGTGTCAGTTGACCATTATTTCAGTGAGTGAGTTGGATCTCGATGGATGGGAAACGGCAATGAAACGCAATGTGTTGAAAAAAGGTAGGTTCGGTGCTTTCCACTGTGTTTTTCCTGGTGTTGCTTAAGGTCTTCTTTGGGCTTTGCCGGATCCCAGTTTCTTCAGCAAATCCAAGTAGATAGTGGGATCCACCCAATCCAAAACTCTGGCTCATGATCCCACCCAGGAAAGCCTGGAGCTGCCCAGTCCTGCGACTCCGATTGGAAGTCACAAGGCCGTGCTCGAAGTGTGTGTTTTTGTTGGGTGTAGGGGGTTGGGTGTGAACAGACCAGACTTGCATGGGGGACGAGCTGATGTTCCGTGCCGACTGGGGAGGAGAAAGGTTTCGTAGGATTTTGGGCCATCCAACACTCCAAGACTTACTTGTAGGATCTTGTAGGCATAAATCTGGCGAGAGACATCAAGTGGGCGCGTGATATACCAAGTGGGTCTGCGATCTTCTGATACCGTAAATGTTTGATCCTTTACCTCTGATTAAGAGGCGTTTTTGGGGCGCCGTTGTGCTGCTTGAAACCACGTCTCTGCCTGGTTTCCCCCTCAAGAGGAAAGTGATTCTGTTTCTGAAGATGGCTGCCATCCCCTGTTCATTTCTTCCTCCTACTAGTACCCGCGCAGATCGGAAGAACCCTTTCCACTTGGAGTCTTTTTCCTCACTTTTCAAGGTTCCTGGGCAGCTGTGAGACGGCACTTGCGAGCGTTGCGCGAGACAAAAGTGCGGGCCAGGGTTCGCCAGCCTGGTTTCGTACCAGACTGCCAAACGTCAGAGGAAAGATCTCCAAACAAAATCATTTATTTCACCTGCAGGATCTCTAGGGCGAGTGGAATGATTAAGAGTCAGTGAATGTGTATGGCAAAGATCCTGGTTCAGAAGCTCGGGACGGGGAGCAACCAAATGTCGACTGCAGCTTGGCAGAACGCCACCAATAAAACATATCTAACACATCTAACAAAATCTATGCTGCAGCTCCCCGAAATCACGAGCTATACATCTAACACATCTAACATCATCTATCGCATTATGCCGGATTTCTTGGATGTTCTTGATTTGCTGAATGAAAGGCCTCAAGGGAAGTAAGGACAGTTGGTTCCTTAGGATACGATTTCTTCAGACACCATCACCCTGTCGAGCCCTGTCAGGCCGCCGAGCCAGCATACGAATCTAGCAAAGCGCCAAAAAAGACAGTCGCAGACAAGATGCACACATACTCGGGTATACTCGGCAAACCTGTGCTTTGGACTTGTGTTTTTGTGGTATGATTGATTTCCAATTCGATGAGCATAAGAAAGTGTCATTGAACGCTTGTACGTCAAGCACCTTTGTGCAAGCATTTAGCTTGCACTGAAGACATGACGAAACATGATGGGTACAGGTAGGTGTTTGCAGACATCCCAAACCAAGCCAAGCATTGAGTTATTGAAGTCTGTGAACCTGGAGTGGGTCAACTTTGAGTCCTGACATGTCCTGACTATATATATATATATATATACATACTGTATACAAACATATAACTCCTTTTGTTTAAGGGTGTTCCTCGTGAACAGGTGGAGCCAGATTCAAAAAGTTTTCCGACACGATGTGGAAAATCATCCCTCCGTTTGTTTGAGAAAAATGCAGCGTCACACGAGCCGAAATCTCCAGAACCTCCCTCCCACGTTTTCCTTCCCGTAGGTCATGTGGCTGGATACCAATCGATCGATTGGAATTCCGGAATTCTCCCCGTTTGCACACCTTTCCCCACACAACAAAAAGCACATTCTTGATCCGATCCTTTGGATATCTGTGGATCTGGATCATTCTGGATCCCACTCTTGCCGCTCTGCCGCAGACTGCCGCACACTCCGCCCATCGCGATCGTCCCGGTCCGGGCCGTGCCATGCGGAGTTGGTCCGAGCCCGACGACGACGGCTCGGACCTTGCGTCGAGCGATGGCACCTCGAGCGTCGACGGGATGCCACGCGTGTGGTGATGGGTTGAAGCAAAATGAGCACATGGTTGGATGGATTTAGGGCGGGGACAAGGAAGGATGTAATTGAGAACAGCAAGGACCTGATTTTGTGGAAAGCACGACGCACATGCCGCACATGCCTCAAGATGTGGAGAGAGGAGAAGGACATTTGAGTCGGCATACATACCTTGCCACGGTCACCAAGCTACTCGATGAAGGGAAGGTGTTTTGCGGAGATAGGAGTTAAGAGTTTGCTTCAAGATCCACAACCAGTTTCATGTCAGAAGAACTACATGATCGATGGTTTCAACTTCCGACTATAAGCTTTCAGTACCTCAAAATGATGAATCTATAGAGAACTGATCAGATCCTTCAGATGAGTTCTTTCGACCACACAACATATTTAAGGGCTTACGCCCGACAGCCGGCCAGGGGCGTTGAGGTAGGGGGCTGGAGGGTGCAGGCTGAGTGGATGTTGGGCGGGCTTGGGGCTATGTTGCGCACAGCTTGGGTCAAGCTTAGGCCATGTGGAGCCTTTGTTGCGCGGTCTTGGAGCATAGCTTGCGTCTAGCTTGGGCCCATGTTGGCTCAGCTTGAGCCCATGTTGGCCTAGCTTCACCCATGTTAGCCCAGCATCCGACCACGATGCAGACGAAGCACCCCGGTGCGGCACGCATTTCCAGCATTATTTGGGCCTATGTTGGTTGGGCTATGTATGTTGACCCCTCGCGAGCAACACGAGCGGAAAAAAACACGTCAAAAGCCCCTGCACCTGGGGTCGGCTACGCTTTCTGCTTCACAGAAGGAGAAGTGCCTTACCGGCAGGACACGGCCCACGGGGCGCTTCTCGCCCCTGGCCGGACAGACTTTAGAGTGCTGGCTTCAGGGGGTCCAGATGCTTCATTCCTCCAGCTGCCTGCGGCGTCCAGCTTTGTGGTCCCAGGCAGTGCTTCTGATGTGGACACCAGCGATGATGAGGACTTCTCCGGCGTGCCGTTGGTGGCCATCTCCTTCAACATCACCAAAGGCCAGGACGGACGGTGATCTGACGGACTGATATCCACGGTGTTGCACGGATTTTTATTGCCAAACATGAGGGAGTTACTTCCCTTCGTTCCGGGCCGATCATAGAGTCATAGAACTCTTCGAGTCTAGAGTCTAGAAGGGAACAACTCCAAACATTGCTGACCCAGCTGTCCCACTGGTGATCCACCTCTTCTCGTTGGGACCTCAGATCGCCACAAAGCTGGAAGCTGCACTGTGCTGCTTTAAGCCCAAAAAACCGTGAGGAATCGTGGGCATTGGCATTCTGAGCCTCCCTGCGGGTGTGGCGGAGGGCACCGGGCTGATTCCGGCCATGATCATTTTGGTCCTCATGTACCTAGCGACCTGGAGCAATGCTTCCGGTGCCATGAAACACCGAGAGACGAAATGCTTCGCCGGACGGGTTTGGCAGATGAGACCGTCATGGGGCATCCTCCCGGTGCTTCGGAGGACTGGTGTGGTGGATGGTTTCAGATGTTTGGATCGATTTGGGTGACCAATGACTTACACCCACAAAGCAGACTTACTGCCAGAGTTTTTAGTCCTTCACCCACGGTCCTTACACCTCAGGGTGACCGACTTACGGTCTCAGTACACCCACCATCAAAGTATTCCAACTAATTACTCACTCTCGGCCAGAGAAGAGAAGGAGAAAAGCAACCAGGACATGAAAAACCCGCATTGGAGGACATGGCGAGATCAAGTCCTGTGAATGAGGGTGAGAGTAAGGGAGCACAAGCAGTCAACAAGCATACATATGGATCTACTGTAGTCATAGCGACCATCACCCCAATCAAAGATGAACACTTCATTCTTCTATGGCATCACACCAAGCCCGGCCTATCGCGCACCGCAGGCCCTTTTCGCCGTGGATTTCAGCTGTTCAACCTGAGGTGATGCTCTACACCTTCTGGTCCTTGGGTCGCTGCTGCGAGGCTACTCATTGCAAAACCCACGGAGGCATTGCCTTTGCCCTTCGCAAGAGCCATGTCTTCGGCAGCATCATGGAGGCCGCTCCGTGTGCGGTGCCGCGACACGCGCGACACCGCGCGCGTTGCGGGCGAGAAACTGGTGAGCAACCTGTGCGTGCTGAAGCGGGAAGGTTCAGAAGTCTGAGAAGTCCATTGTAAAATAGTGTACTGTATATTTGTTTTCATGAATTAGACAGCCACTTCGCACCTTTTGCTCAAAACCTCCTCCGCCATTCTTGGAAGCGAAACGAAAGAACTCCGCCGTACCAACCTTTAACATCCTTTGACCCTTTTTTGGTGGACTGGTTTCCCCAATAAGAATCCAACAGGTGGAACATTTGGTTAGCCTGATTTTCTGGAGAAAACGGCTCGCGTTTGTTCCCGTATGCCTGAAGTCACGTTTGAAGACACCACTTCAGATCACCAACATCACTGGCACGATCTTTGGCTGTGCGGGCTATGCCATCGTCATCGGCAAGAGCAGTCAGGGCTTGTGGCAGTCTATCGGTGTGGAGGATGGCTGGTATGCCAGCGCGCGGGGCAGCTTCGTGATTGTAGCGGGGCTGCAGTGAGCAGGGCAGGGCCGTGGGAGGGGTCACATCGTGGCAGGGTGACAAGGGATGGGGAGACCCTTTTTGCTCCATACAAGTACTATATCAAGTAGTTATGAGTACATTATGTGTTAATTATTGTGTTTTGGCTGGTCAAAGCTTCTCTGAGAGACCACATTTTAAGAAAGAGAAGAGGTTTGAACTGCGAGAACGGCACAGTGAACGGTTTCCGGACGTTGCCTCGCCGTGATCGGTCAGCAGGTGAGCTGGTGCGGAGTTGAAACGCTGTAGATGGTACCCTAGGGCTCCTGGCCAACCGAACCTGAGGATATGGGACAGGAGCCCTAGGTTGTTTTCTGCGTGGCCCACGGATTGATCAGTCGCCTGGTGTTTTACAACGATCAGTGCGCCCGTGACCATATAGTGTCTTTGCACCCATGTCAGACTCTCCACAGTCCAAAGCCTCACTTGGTGGGAGGCTTTGCACATCCCTTGTCACGAGAAACTTCCAACATGCTCAGAGGACAGAGGCACCTGTGACTTGTCATCAGACCACCAGTGGGCAGGAACCTGCAAGTGGGTGCTCGGCATGGCAGCCGATGCTGTAAGCTGATCTGATGGACGATGAGTGTTGTTTGGTTCATTGGTGTCTATGGCCCCTAGGGATTCACTGCCAGCTTCCCTCCAAACCTGCATCAAAGAGCGTCCAATCAACTACTCAGAGGATATGAGGATCCAATATGGAGTAATCCGGGTGGTCGTAGTGCGCGATTTTCGTGAAACCGTCCACCTTCGCAGTGCTAAGGCGCAAGTAACTTAAGGAGTCCACTCTCATGTTCATACTGAGATGCGTAACCCATGGCTATCTTGATGAACAAGGGCTATCCTCGAAAGACTGATTCGAGACGAGTGGGATCTGGAATGCAACTTCAGCCTGACTCCTAGAAGAACTCATCCCCCCATGGTTGTCACACTGTCATGATCTTCACATGGCTTCACTGAATTTGGACTGCAGATCCTGTGCTTCATCTTGCTGCCCTTATGTTTGCTCCGCGATTTGTCCAAGCTGGCCTTCACCAGCTTCATCGGTGTGGCGTGTGCCACTCGTCCTTTTTCTCCGAACGGGCGACCGACCGGTGGGCGGGTGACGGTGACCGTGCGCACGAGAGGCGGGTAGTATTGGGTTGAAGACCACCCGAACGACCCGCAGGGTGAAGGTTGGAATACCCTACAGCTCCTGGCCCACCGAACCTGAGAAGATGGGACTGGGGTGGGTGCCAGGGGGGTCTAACCACCGAACCTGAGGATATGGGACAGGAACCCTATAGGAATAGATCGATAGAAGGGAGGTTATAGATGCGGATTGGTAGACGCGTTAACAGTGAAAGAATGCCTGATGCAACACTGGAGATGTGTTCATTGGTGTTCAATTTGATTGTAGAGGTGTCGGTGGAATTCTACGTTCATCCCTTTCCCCTCCAGCAAAATCCGCCGGCCCTTGGGCGCGGCGTGTTTTATTAGGTGATTGGTTTGCATGCTATCCTAGTAGTAGTTTTGTTTTTAGTCTAATTGTACCCACGGCGCGGATTTTTGACAACACCCCCCCCCCCCCCCCCCTTCCCTCCCCCCTCCCCCCCCCCTCCCCCCCCCCCCCCCCCCCCCCCTCCCCTCAGCCAAAAGGGCTGGCGGAACAATCCGCAGGGGTAAATAACACAGCTAATATCCACACACAGGTTTGGAACCATTGCGGATTGCTTACCTTTGAAGCTTTGCTATGCTAACCGGTTATGGTCCAGGTGTATAGTTTTACACCTGAAAAAAATAACATAAAATTAAACTACTATTAGGAGTGCTCCACCTGACTCAACCAGCGAAGTGTTTCATCTGGGTCGCCCGAACCCTCCAGCCGGCCGTATCAGTCACGAGCGAAGCTTCGTGACAAGCG